TTTAATTTTAAAAAGCCGATCACGGTAGCATGTACTGTCTTCGCTCGCTCGGAAGCCGGGATCATGAGTTCGAATCCCACACAGGGCATGGATGTTTGATGTCTGTGTTTGTGTTGTCCTGTGGAGGCCTTGCGACGAGCTGATCACTCGTCCAAGGAGTCCTACCTTCTGTATAATGTCAAAATGAAAAAAAAAACAACAACCTCGACACCGTAAAGGTATAAGAGGAACGGAGTAAGTAAGTTTAATTTTAAAATTTGATATTGTTGCATGATGGACGACGGTAAACAACTGAAAATAAATTATAATATGTATAATTAGCTACTTTTTATAATATTGTTTTTGTTGGAAGTGTCGCGTTTTTATTGAGAAATTCTAATATGTACAGCTGTGTAATATCTGTTTTAATGTATGTTGTCTCCTGTAACTGTAAGTTTTGTGTGTTTAATGAGTCACAGTTTTTTTAACCCTGTAAGTGCCTAGAAGTTCCGTCAGTGTCTAACCGTCAATTTAAGTTGTGAGAGCAGTTTTCTATGAGTAAATAAAATATATATAAATTCTCTCGAAACTTTAAAGCATAGTGAAACAAACTCCTTTCATATTTTGACTACGTAGTTCACATAAAATGTCGAAAAATGTCACATTCAGTGAAGTAAGGGAAAATTGGTAAAGATCGAAGTTTTCCACACTTGGCACTTACAGAGTTAAGTAAACATATTGCGCATGCTCTGCGGGTATCTTGCTTTACGGCAATCTCAGCAGGACTAACCAACCAATAAAACAGTTTACTGATAATATTATAATTTCTAACTTTAACAATTTTTAAATATGATTTTTGTAAATGTGAGAAATTAGTTTTAAGCATGCATTTATGTAACCTATTACTAGTGACTGTAAAAATTAGAACTGCATCCTCTTGACAGTAGCTGTAACTATACGTTTGTTTAGTTACTAAATTGTAAAGAAAATAAAAACTTCTAGCATGGGATTTGGATGTGTGTATAGTGACATGCCCATAATGCCAGTCTGTATATAAATTCTTCTAACTTGAAATGATACCGCCATTTTGTCCGCAATATTAACGCTGAAAAACTTAAAATTTTATTTATAAAACCAAGATCGAAAGCCTAACGTTCGAATCTGTCTCCAATATGCCCATAACGTTAGGCTTGTGATTTTTAAAAGTGATATGTAAAAGCCATCTGAGGTTAGGAATTGTGTTTTCTTTGTAAAGATGAACTTCTAAGGTTGTCAGCGCTAACATGTCGGACAACATTGCGGTAAATTTGAAGTTATTTGGTTCGTACGTAAATGCCAATTTGTTCATATTTGTGGAGAGTCATCTTTTTTGCTTTTCGTAACTGGTTGTCCTTAAGAATAATTATAACTGTAATAATGATTGTGCTATATGCAGACATACTACGTACATATCATTGTCACAACACCATACTTGTGATCATCTTGTCAATGTTACAAGCACCCGAATTCTTTCCAAAATGGCCGGTCATAATATTTGTTTACAAGATTTGGTTTAAGCCGTTTATTAAGTCTTTGCGGACCATTTTAGTGGTTTGTATATCGAATAATGCATGGCACCGCATTTAAAAATAGTTTTAATATTTGGTACGTGTCTTTATTTTTAAAATTTGATATTTTAAATGAAAAATCTAAAGAGCTCAGATGCCTGGCTTGTCCCCAGGTTCCGATAACTTTCCGAGGGCTTATCCCGCATCTGCCACCATACTGTTAGAACCTTACGTCTCTCACAGACCTCCGTGTTTCCTGTGAGGTAGGAACTAAATTCATAAATATTACCTGGATGAACTGGCTTCTAAGGATTATATGCTTATGTAATCTTGTTACTGGCTTCTCTTAGCAAGAAGCTCTGGCGCTTCATTAATTTAAAGCCGACTGCTGTGCCACTGGCTGCCTAAGTACTTCCGTCTCCTTTCACGTTTGTAGGTCACCGCAGTGAAGAGTTCAAGGCCGCCGATATTTCTGCTATAAGTAGTTCGCATTCTCTCTCACGTACATCAGTAACATTATCTGAGTGTGATGATATTGTTGGTGCATAAGGAAGAAATATCGGAAATAAAAATTATCGTTTAACTTATGTCAAACCCTTCGAAGAAAAATAAAATGCGATTTTTATGGCTGTAAAGTTCCGCTGTACCACGCCATGCAGTGGGAGTAAAAAAAGGTAAATATAGCCCTGTAACAGGCCGTGGAGGCCCATAGGGTTGTGAGACGTCGAGGCTTCCATTTCTAGACAATCGGCTCATATATGGCGGTAAGGTTGTCAGCATTAACCGCCGGCCGCCTTTTATCCCCCAAGAAGATTCCTGGTACTCATTTCTGTTAGAGGCTGCGTCGACCCCAGGGCCACAGTGCGGTTGGAAGATTTACATCAATTGAAAAATCCAGTGACCTCATCGGGACCCGAACCCACGACCTTCCGGCTTGTAGCATAGTGCCTCAACCAACTACGCTACCGCATGCCGCCCCACCCCGAGCTAGGGGGCAGAAAATATGTTTTTGGAAACAAGACTGTAGTCCAGCTGCGCTCAACTTTCTTCATTGCGTTAGACTGGAATTGATGGCGGGGACAGATAAGCGCTACTTGTTTATCAGTAAGTCTGTCTGTGTGGAAATGACGTATCAGTTAACACTGGCGACTGTTTCTTGTCCCCGGATGAATGCAATCCCGCATAGCGTGTGGTCTGCTACAGTGACCGCATGAGGGACACCGCCGAAGCAACCCACGATGCGAAGGCAGCGTAGTGTGTGGAAGTAAAGCAGTTAGCTCAAAATTGTAATTTTTGGAGATGCCTCTTCTTTGTGATGGTTCGAAATACCGAGGTTCCACTGTGCTTTATTTCCCTGCAGCAGCTAGACCTTGCTTGACTAGCCAGAAAATGCACGGGCGAAACAAAATGCAGCTATTTAGCAGGCCGAGTATCATGGGGGACAGCTCAGTCGGTATAGCGACTGGCCACGGGCTGAATGACCGAGAGGTCGGAGTTCGAGTACCGTTAGCGTCAACAATTTTCACTCCTACACGTAGTCCAGACCAGCTCTGGGGTACACCCAACCTCCTACCCAATGGGTAACGGGGGTTGTATCTCCGGGGGTAAAACGGTAGGGGCGTGAAGCTGACCACTCACCTCCAGCTAACGCCGAGATCAAGAAAATGTGGATATATACATCCACTCCCCCATACACCTTCATGGCGTAGTGCTTCATTAGTTATGCACGGTGACAAATTTACTTTTACCTTTACCCTCCAAATCTTAAGCAGTTCAGATAATCTTTACCTGCTTTATAGGACAGTGAAACCGAGTCTTCCGTCCTGGAGGGAAAACAGATTGAGGGTGTTTGGGAACAGGGTAGTGAGCAGAATATTTTGACTCGAGGAGGGTGGGAAGTGAGGGGGAGGAGCGTCATAACTTGTATTTATTGCTGAATGCTGTTAGCGGCATGAGATCCAAGAGGGTTAGAGGGATGGGGCAGATGGAAAGCATAAAGTGATGAGCAGGGCCCGGATTTTGATGACCTGAAAATATTAAAAAAATGACCTATAAAATGACCTAAAGGAGAAAAGAAAGAACACTTCGCTTCCATGTTATTCACATTTCAGAAACCATATGAAGAAAAATGCCCTAAAATGGCCAAAAATGACAAATACCCTTAAAAGTCCAAAAATTTACAAAAAAATTACCCCCAAAATGAAAAAAATGACCCTAAACCTAAAAATGTCAAAAAATTGCCTATAAAATTTACATTTCTGTAACCAGCAGCTCATATCCGAGATTTATATATTTAAGAGCATCGCGTAGGATACAAGGAAAAAAAGATGACATGTCATCAAACTCCGGGCCCTGGTGATGAGAAATACAAAATGTTACTTCGGAAATATGAAGAATACGCGGAAATTTGGGCACTGGATTTATTTGGCTCAAGAGTACAGATATGAAGATGGGAATGAATTTGATGGATCCAGAAAAGGCACGGAATTTCTTGATTAGCTGAGCAACTATGAGCTCCTCAGAAAGATATCACTTAATGGAGTTAATTTGCTTTATAGGAGTGTGAGGAAAACAACAGATTGGGGCTGTATGAGAACAGGGTGTTGAGCAGACGATTTAGACCTTAAAGGAGTCGACCCAGCCTCTAACAGAAATGAGTACCAGGAACCTTCTTGGGGGTAAAAGGCGGCATGCGCGTAAGACTGACAACTTTACCCTCATCTGTGAGCCGATTGTCTAGAGAAAATGTGGGAGCCTCAACGTCTCACGGCCTGTTACAGGGAGAGCTTTACCTTTTACCTTTATAGAGAGAAGGTGCCAACGGGCGCGAGATGATTACGTAATGAGGAGCTTCACGGTACAGTCTCCATCACATCAACGGGGTAAGAATGGCCGGGGCATACAGTACGGCCATACCCCTTTTGGGGCCCATTCGTTCTCTTTATGGACACCGGACAATCTTTCTGTTGAGCCAAAAATACTGCGGCGTAAGCCTGACCACTCCCATTATGCCAAGGTTAAAGGTAAGTGGAGCCTTACCTCCAAGTACCTTCTCCGAGTGTTTGGCTAGTAGAAGTAGTACGTAAGCACCACATCACGAAGACGTATAGGGGAATGGAGTTATAGCTCCACAATTTTTAAACTCGGACACTGGATGGAGAAGAGTGGTCAGCTATACACCCCAGCCGCTTTAACCTCGAGGAGACACCTCCCGGTACCTGCTAAATAAGATGCTGTGTGGGTCCAAGATCCTGTCTGGACGTTCTTGCCCCTACCGGGAATCGAACCTTGATTCCTCGGTCGTCCATCCGGTAGCCTAATCGCTATACTGAGCTATCCCCGCTCTCTATGTAGTACATTGTTATATTTTCCCTGGAAACTCCTTCTCCCTCGTCGTCTGAATGCGCGGTGGACATGCGCAGTTGACTGCAGTGTAAATGCTCTAACGTTCCTTTTGGTGGTGCTTGGTTGTAGCGATACGAAGGAACTGGTATCCTGGGTGATGAGGTTGCTCTTCTTGCTTGGGGGTTTCCACTGGGTCACTGTACGTGGGAAACAGGCGTCTGCCAAGGACGCTCCCATCCTCGCTGTGGCGCCGCATTCCACTTATTTCGATGCTTTGCCTGTTGTGCTGATGGGAGCACCCAGTGTCGTCGCTAAGGGCGAGACAGGACGCCTGCCATTCTTTGGAAGTACGACATCATCTTGTACCTAGCAACTGCGCGAACTGAATGTGGAGAAACATGCTTCTTCAGGGAAAAGTTGTGTTTTGCAAGCATACAAATTTGAAAATCCAAACTCACTTTCGGGTCCCTAACAAATGTTTTCAGTTATGTAGAAAAAGAGTAGCCACATTTCAAAAGAGGGATGTAACAGTATAAATATAAGGTGAACGTAACAAATTCCTTAACATATTTCGTGGTAAGACAGCCTAAATTCGCAACGATGTGTCCCACATAGTTTTAAAAGTTGTAACATTTGGTTTTCTCATGATAGTAACTATAGTCTGGAATGTGTTGCCGTGTAGTCTTGTTATACGTTCATCGACCGATAAAGATTGAGGTACTGCGCTCGTCCAAAATGTCGGCATTACATTCCAGGCGATAGTAGACTAGTGTTCACTTCGAAGGTCTGTAGATAGCTTCAGAATGAGTCACGTGCCCAATTTTGTTGCATGTTTATAGTCTAGTATGTGAAATAAGGCGTGACATAAACCTGAGTAAGTTTATCCTGTGACTGTCGCGTCGTTATCAAGAACGTTGCCGTTTCTAGATATGTGAATGACACTGAAAATCGCCCTGTATATGTGGAAACGTGAATCCTATCCAGTAAGAGAGTGTCTTCATGCCTAGAGCAGTATGCAGACAGACACATTCAGTTCGCGCTGTAAATATTTTGTAAACCGTTTCAATTCTGAAACGTGATGAAGTAAAATAGTGTTTAAGTCAATTTCTTGTGAAGATAAAATTGCAAAGAAAAGTAGAAGTTGCTCTGTAAACAACTCTTTGTATGAAAGCAATAACAACGTCTGCTGAAATTTGTTCTCATTTTATATTTAATAGTAAAAGTAAAGTAAAGCTACCCCTGTAACAGGCCCTGAAGGATCCATAGGGTTGTGAGACGTCGAGGCTCCCACATTTTCTAGATAATCGGCCCACAGATAACTTCTTAAAAAATATAATTTACTTTTTTTTTTAGTTCTGAGAATGGAAATGAAAGGTTACTTTCAACAGAGTATTCATCATTCATTGTTTGGAATTACGGGAAGATCCTATTGCCATTGGAGGAGCATTAATTTCCAAAATTCTTATCATCTTTTCTAAAAGGTCAATATGTTGTTATCATCTGAGCCTTAGGCACGGGTTTTTATTACCACATGATTTCAGCGATCTAGTTTTTTTCTTATGTCAGTAAGTAACTAAATTTCATAGTTCATTCATATAAATTCGGGGCAAATCTACCCCATTTCGTAACATATTTTATGATACGGCAGCCTAAATTCGCAATGTAATTAGTGTCGCACGGTTGTAACAGTTACGAGATATTCCATTCTCATTGACGGTGACAACGAAGTTGCTATCTTCTGCGATATGACGCCGTGTAATCTGGTAGACTGTTACCTACGCTTGAAAATGGAGACAGTACGTTCCTCCCAAACATCGGTAAAAATATACCACACTACACCGCGTCACATCGCAGAATATCAGAATTTAAGCAGTTACTTAAAAAAGAGCTCAGAATAGAACTCACAACTAATATCATGGAATAACGCATTTTCGTAAAATTCCACGCGAAAGAAAAGGTCATTTTATGTTATTGCTATGTAAATCTTACGTCTGAGTTTGAAAAATTTTATCATTGCAGCTTCTAAGCAAAAAGTGCTAATGAAATATTATTATTTTTACTATTATTATTGCTATTATTATTATTAATATTAGTATTAGTATTATGGTGCATGAATACAAAACTTCAGGTGGTGTTGGACTTTTTGGTATTAAAAATCTTGGTGCTGGTAAAGAAGAAATCCACAGGACGGATTACTCACAACTTCTCACTTAACAACCTCCCCTCTGCAACTCCCCAGCTTACCCTCGTATGTCCGTTTGTGACTCCAACTAGTTAAGTTTTTCTTCAATATGACAGTCGATCCATTAGTGCCGACTTATTAGAATAATATTGTATATTATTATAATTTGTCACACTAATTATGAATAGATATGCTGACTGTTTAGGTTACATTTTTAAAGCTATCCCTGTAACAGGCCGTGGAGGCCCATAGGGATGTGGCACGTCGAGGCTCCCACATTTTCTAGATAATCGGCTCAGCCTTATGTCCCAGCCGCCCTTTACCCCCCAAGAATATTCCTGGTACTCATTTCTGTTAGAGGCTGAGTCCACCCCGGGCCATAGTGCGGCTGGAAGGATTAGGTCAATTGAAAAGTGCAGTGATTTCATCGGGAATCGAACCCCAGACTTTCCGGCTTGCAGAATAGTGCCTCCCTTCCGCCCAGTTTATACTTAAGCTGGAACAAACAAATCCCTAGTTTAATAAGCACACACACTTCAGAATGTCTAACTTTTCTGTGTTTACGCTTCAATATTAATGACAGGCACTGCAAGTGACAGGAATATACGCGACATAGGATGGCTGTACATGATGTTTTCTAGCATTGTAAGGGCACGAAGTTACCCCTTACTCGTGAATTGTAATTAAAAATTTTACTTGTTACCCCCTTTCAATTGGCACGTCGTTAAATGTAGATGTACTAATGAAATAATCGGCAATGTTAGCACGTACGGGTAATCAATAGGCAATTGTTCAATAACGGACGGGTTCTGCCTTTTGCTAAATACTGTACATGTCAGGTCTTTTCAGCTTTGGAAGTTGGTAACCCTCCTAATGAATGATATCATTACAAAAATTTAACTAAACGCGTAAAGGTAAATGTAAAGTTGTCCCTGTGCTATTAATTAAGCACTACGCCATCAAGGCGTATGGGGGAGTGAATGTATAGACCCACGTTTTCTTGATCTCGGCACTAATTGGAGGTGAGTGGTCAGCCTCACGCCCCAGTCGCTTTACCCCCGGTACCCATTGGATAGGAGGCTACGTGTACCCCAGAGCCGGTCTGGACGACGTGGAGAAGAGAAAATTCTCGACCCCTTGTTCGTCCAGCCCATAGCCAGTCTCTATACCGACTGAGCTGTCTGTGTAAATACTTTCCACTGAGTTTAGCATGCACTGCTCGGAAAGGTGGCAGTTAACGTTGGGTTGATCTTACTGACATGGACGCGTGTTGTCGGTTGTCTATAGCATGCACTGCTCGGAAAGGTGGAGGTTACAGTTTGGATGATGTTACTGACATAGACGCGTGTTATCGGTGATCCAGGAAGTTGAACCCGATGATTTGCGCGCTGGGTAAAAGCACGTACCAGGTTGGTGGCATGAAACTCATTGTGAAAGGACGCCAGGCGTCGAGAAAAGAAGCGCCCATTCTAGTCGTGGCGCCGCACTCCACTTTCCTAGACGCGGGTATCACGTACGTTACCGGATTCCCGTCCATTATAGTACGCAGAGAGAGTGGACTCAACCCCTTCATCGGAAGTATGTATTGCCAACAGTACTTTGTTAAATTTCCCTCTATCTCCACACACATTCTCTACTCTAAGTTAGCAGTTCTCTTTACGGAATATGGCATCCATCATTTCCATATCCTGCCATCCAGCGAATGAGAACAAATTATGTTGTATATCTTATAAACTTTGGAATTCAACGCCATTGCTGTTTGTAAGCAAGTATCTCTCTCGTAAAGATGTTTCAGAAATACCGTATTAACCCGAATATATAAGGCGAGTCCCCCCCTCCAAATTCTGCTTCTTAGGAAAAAGGGATCGCCTTAATTTAGGGTTCTTAAGCATAAGTATGACCCATCACAATAGCCACGCGGTCTATGGCACGAAACATCTTCGCCAGCTCGAACACAGGGATCGTGGGTTCGAATACCACTCAAGGCATGGATGTCTCAGTTTATTCTGTGTTTGTGTTGTCCTGTATGTAGCTAGCCGCCTTGCGACGGGCTGACCACTCGTCCAAGGAGTCCTACCGGCTGTCCATAAGATTAGTAATTTCAGAATTAATTCCTAATGGACATAGGCCAGACGGTCTAACCCGTCATGGCAGAGGAAGAAGAACAGGCCATGGAAGCCCATAAGATTGTGAGACGTCGAGGCTCCCACAATTACTAGATAATCGGCTCACAGATGGCGGTGAAGTTGTCAGCCTTACGCTCCGGCCGCCCTTTACCCGCAGGAAGATTCCAGGTACTCGTTTCTGTTAGAGACTGAGTCGACCACCAGCGCCACAGTGCAGCTGGAAAGGTTAGGTCAGATGAAAAATCCAATATGACCTCTTCGGGAATCGAACCCGGGACCTTCCGGCTAGTAGGGTAGTGCCTCAACCAACTACGCTACCGCGTACCTAGAATCACATTTAAGGCATAAAATGTTGAATTTGTTATTTCTTAACAGTAAAGTTTTTTTATTTACTTTTGCTTACAACACTCAGAACTAAATTATATATTAAGTTTTAACAAAAAAAATATTCCCCCCTCATTTTCTCATTGGAAGAAATGTATGTTCCTGCTTTAGCGGTAAATACTGTTGTCTACCGAGTGTCGTGCATGTCAGAAGAAACTCAAGTCTGGTGAAGTCGTTATGTTTCGTGCCACAAGGGACTCCAGAAAAAGCACCGTGTAGGATCTCAGTACGTGATCTGCGTGGGGCCTCGCAATCAGAGAGCCCTCCGACTCGAAACAACTACAAGGCCACTTAGGAGTGGATAGTTCTTGTATGTTACAGCAAGAAAATCTGTTTTCTGCTCTCATTCTCATACCAAACCCCAACAATTCTTTTGCATGTCGAATGTATTTAACCACACATAACTTGTGTTTCATTTAGTTTATCATTTAACAATTACATCCTTGGATGCTACCATAATTTTTCCCCATAGAGGGCGGTCAGAAATTTGTGTTCAAACTTATATTTACTGACCACCCTAAAGTAATCATGATAGATGAATTAAAAAATCTCTATTTTGTGATTAATATTCGATATATTTCTTTCTTTTCTTACATTTTAATTCTTTTCCCATAAATCCGGGCAGATGTCTGGCTTGCCCTCTCCCCCTCCACCTCGACAGTCATGCCTAAAATCCTACTTTGTTCTGAAAAGGACATCCACATTACAGCATGGATAAAACTGATCAATTATTAAAATATTTTATAAGGGGACATATTTTTCTCATGAAATGCATTAAAACTTGCTTCAGCATAGACACTGCCAGTCTTTCAAAGATTTTATCAGACCAAGTGACGTAAGATTTATGCTGTTAACAGTTTTTATGACAGAAATATAGAAAATGTATAGGTTTTGAGGTTTTCATGACAGTAATTAAGATAGTGGCATTCTGGGTTGTGACACCGTATAGTTTTGTGGTCGGATACCGACGTTTCATAGGAACCAGTGTGCTTAAAAAAAAAGTAAAGCTATCCCTATAACAGGCCATGGAGGCCCATAAGATTGTGAGATGTCGAGACTCCCACATTTTCTAGACAGTTGGCTCATAGATGGTGGTGAAGTTGTCAGCCTTACGCGCCGGCTGCCCTTTACCCCCAGGAAGATTCCTGGTACTCATTTCTGTTAGAGGCTGGGTTGACCCCAGGGTCATAGTGCAGCTGGAAGATTTAGGTAAATTGAAAAATCCAATGACCTCATCTCCCATAGGGGCCTTTTTTTTTGTCCATTCCTTCACATTGGCTGATACCGAGTTCCCTTTTTTACCCCCCTCCTTGTAACTTGACCATATAACCGAGCCTATTACTGAACTTGCACACTTTGAGCCTGAAGATGGAGGTAGCATACTCATCCAAAACATCAGTGTCCAGCCACAAAACTACACATCACAAGAGCACAAACCTTTAGACAATGTAAGCATTCCTTTCTATAATTTCATTCAGGTTTTTACACTTTTCATTGTGCTGATTATGCAATAGATGAGTGGATCAAAAGTAAACAAAGTAAATTCATAGTGTGATTTCCAACACCACATCTTCATAAGTGAATGTATGACTGCACCAGTACAGTGGTATTGTTCTGACCTCCAGGTGTGACTCATTTATCACACAACATTGCATTTATTAGCATAAGAATGCGAAGAACCTAATGGCCTTTTTAATTAACTGTGTTAATACCAGTGTTACTGTTTCATGTAGGTAGATTCAGTAAACCTCACAGCTGAGAATATTGGGTATTCTCCATTTCACTTAACAGATTTGGCCATTTGACCACAGTAGATTCGGTATTGTTGAACTGGGGGAAAGTTAATGGAATTAGAGTCGGTGTTTTAATGTATAGGGGCAGTGAAAATAAATTTTATTTTTCTTGTAAAACCTTGATGATAAAGAAATCATAGTTTTACCAGAAAGTCTGTGATGATCATGTACTACTAAAATGATAAGTTTTCTGAACACTGTTCTTCTTAATTTTAATTTGAAGTGACATTTGGGAAACTGGACTATGTCACCTTCCTCAGGGAGAAAACTAGAGCTAGTTCCTGCAGCTCTATTTCTGGATATTGGGACTAACTCTTATCAGTTGAGCCATATCTTTAGAAACAGGGGCTAGTTCTATCAACTAAGCTGTATCAGTGACTTGGATCTGACAATGATTTCAGTGTTATTTTGTTGTGTTATGTGTGATGGTGTTACACATCTTGCATACTACAATGTGGAGTTATGTAACTGCAAGGGGCCATGCCATAGCTCAAGCGGTTAGTCTCTGGCTTCCCACCGCGGCGGCCTGGGTCGATCCCGGGTCTGGTCAAGTGGGATTTGTGGTGGACACAGTGGCACTGGAGCAGGTTTTCTCTGAGTACTTCGGTTTCCCCTACCAATTGCTCCGCAATCACCCTCACCTATCATCTGGGGCTGATACAATAGGCCAGGAGTGGCCGCAGTACAAGGGACTTAGTCCCGCCCCACTAGCAATAACAAAATATGTAACTAATTACCTTCTGAATACACAGAGTTAATCAACTATACACAGCCTGTTTATGTGTGGCGGGAAGACCCAAACTCAAGACAGAACACGATAAAAGAGATCATAGACCGTGCTACTTCTGATCAGGATTGGCCTCAGGTAAGTGAACATTATTTTGAAATGTGAATTATTTGAAGCCCTTATGGCTGCAAGACAGATAACAGCAGCTGCTTCTGTGGCCATGAAAAGTCACTGGATAAAAATTGTGTTCTTTGCCAACTGATGTAATATAGAACTACAGAGAAAGTTTAAAACAGATTTTGTGGTCTTCATTTTGAAACTTCTAAATGAACTTTACACAGATATCCTAACTAGATGAAAGAGAATATATATAGATTAAGAATGGCACATGTCACATATGAGAAGACTTGAAGTAGTTAAATAGCATCTTGTTTATTTGTTGTCCAAGTTAAACTACTGTGATCTTATGTACACTCTATGTTGATAGCATTAATAACAACTAGTAAGTTATGCTGTGTCAAGAAAAAAGTGTTGCATTGTGTTTTAATGTTATACAGGTTTTAATATTCCCTGAAGGTACGTGCACAAATCGATCATGTCTCATCACATTCAAGCCAGGAGCATTCTACCCAGGTGTGCCAATCCAGCCTGTTTGCATTCGCTACCCCAACAAACTGGACACAGTCACATGGACATGGGAAGGGCCCGGAGCGTAAGTGGCATTCATTTTGTACAGAGTACGAGTAGTGCTTAACTTGCTGTACGAGAGTTCTTGAGGTATTCAGTACAATTCATAAACTTTTGACAAACAGGGCATGCATAAGAAGTATTCCATTTTCTTGGATATGTAGTCCATTGAAAGTCAACTCACATTTCAGAAGAACATGTCCACCTCAGTCTTCAGGGTCAGTGAATAAGAAAAAAGTAAACCAACATGAGGCTGGTAGTAATAGAGCTGATTTTTCAACCCTGAAGATGGAGGCCACATGTTCCTCCAAAACATCATTGACTTTCAATGGACTACACAGTGTTATATCCCAGAAGAGAGAAATCTTCATAACCACTGCTGTGAGAACCTCACATCCTACATGCACATTTGGGCATCAAATCAATCAATTTTATGTACAAGAGATTTATCTGTTTGCTGGTTAAGCAAATATGCTCACTCAGAATGTCTGAATGACTGACTACATGAAGCTGAGCCCTTCGATAAATTTCTGCCTTTTATCGAACCCAAATATTCATGATCATAGGACTCACTACTGACTTTATGATAATTCCAGCTTTTATCCTTGCGCCATATTTCCTTAGGATGTTATCTGTCCAGGGCAGAAGGCAAGCACAGATGCAAGTAGATGGCACCATTTACTTAGGTCCAGACCCAATTTTGTCATTAAGATTGTTTTCATTGCTTTAAGACACATCATTAAATGTTCTCAATAAGGTTAATGTAGGAACAAATCCCAATATAACTTGTAGAATACTGATGTTGTGTTTGTCATTCTCATGGATTTTTCTGCTGACTTGGAATATCTACGTAACCCACAACAGGATCATGTATTTCTTTCTCTAAAAATGTTTCCACCCATAAATTTATATCTTAAAAATTGCCACAAGATGTCAATAATAACTTTGAGGAATGAAAATATTCTGGCTATATAATGATGCAAGCAACACAGACATTATTTTGTTTAGATGTTGAAACTTGTCACCGTGTCATCCAGTCTTTCTCCTCCTTCCCATAGCACCATTTCATTTTATCTAAGTTGATGGATAGAAACCTTTCAATCTCCCCTTTCATTTTTTTATATTTTGCCAGCATTTTCTTCTTGATATCTTTCACTACCTGACCACACTATTTCGTTCTTTAGGATCTAAGTTTTTCACAGCAGTAGTTATTAAAAGTTCTGTGCTTGGGGACATAGTGCAGTGTAGCCTGGTGAAAGCCAGTTGATATTTTGGAGGAACATATGCCATCTTGAGCCAAGCAAGAAACCAGAACTTTCACTGGGCTACACAGCATTATATCCCAGAAGAGAGAAGTGTTGTTATCCTGTTTTGTAGCAAAGGGACTCATACGAGGACCTTCCACTAAAAGAGCAAAGGATATGTTGAAGTTAACAGGAACCAGCTACAATGGGTGGTAAGTACTTACAAGACACTGTCACCTCAAAGGACACCTGTTCAAACTGGGACTAAGTGATAGTCCCACTTGTGAGAGGTGTCAGACAAAACACGAAACAGCCACACACATCCTGTGTGAATGTGAGGCTTTAGCTTATTTAAGACTAGGTCGCTTGGGTCAATACTCTATGGAACCAAGTGACTATTTTGACACCCCAACGTCTAAAATCCTGCACTTCATTTGAAGCGGGGGGTTCCTGAGGGAATAATTAAAAAAGGGGGAAGCACAATAGACCACTGAGGTCGCGGTGCAAAGGCCGAGAAGGCCTACCCCTCATATGTTCATTCATTCTGCTTCCTTCTCAGTATCCTTGTTCTATATATTCCTTTTACATAGCCAGACTTAAACAATCATTTATTTCTTCTGCCAACAGATTTTAAACTCCAACTCATTGCCTCCTCATTTGTGTGTTGATACAGTAAACAGACTCTGTGTTGGGCCGCGCCATAGGTCAAGTGGTTAGTCACTGGCTTCCCACCGTGGCAGCCTGTGTTCGATCCCGAGTCTGGTCAAGTGGGATTTGTGGTGGACAAAGTGGCGCTGGGGCAGGTTTTCTCCGAGTACTTCGGTTTCCCCTGCCAATCTTCATTCCACCAATTGCTCCACAATCACCCTCACCTATCATCTGGGAATGGTATAATGGGCCAGAAGTGGCTGCAGTACAAGGGACTTCCCTCTGTGTTCCTAATTTCCATTAAAGTAGACACACCTTGTCTTAAGGATGTAATTAATGACTGTTTCAGGTTGAAGCTTTTGTGGCTGACACTGACACAGGTCCACAGCAGCTGCGAGATTGAATTTCTTCCGGTCTACACGCCTAATGACGAAGAGAAGCATGACCCCAAATTATATGCCAATAATGTGAGACATCTCATGGCAAAGTGCGTTCAGTTTTATGTTTGGATTTATGTAGAATACGTTTCTAAATGTTATCACTGTGATATATTTTAATTTAATGTCCTCTATCTCTGTATGTTGCAGAACTCTTGGGATTCCCGTTTCTGACTACACGTATGATGATTGTCGCTTAATGACAAAGGCCAAGAGAATGAATTTACCGTTTGCATCTGGACTTGTTGAAGTACAAAAGTTGAGACAAAAGTTAGGGTGAGTATCTTTCTATATTAACTGTTTAAAGCCTATAGGTACTACTCGCTTCCATATCCTAACACGGTGAACTTCTACCAGAGTTTACATTTCGTACATGTGATTCTCACAGAAAATGGTGATTATTTCTGTGTGTAGTATTAAACAACTGCTCTTATTTTTGGAAGCCCAACATTTTCTCTGACATACAAACTGAATTTTTAAATACCTTTCATAAATATTTGAGATTTTAATTGTATTGATGTTTCATGGCAGTTGCACACTGACAACTGCAGCTAGTCTGCAGACTATTCATGCTCTCCCCCCCTCTCCCCCAGGCATTAAATGATTAATATTAAAATGTCTACTGCTATGTTTGATATACTAGCATTTGTTACTTAATGCAAACCAAGTCCTATAATTAACTGCAATTTCCTAAGGTGATCATTCAGAAGTGTATTTTGTAGTAATTGGTAATTGTGACAGTAATTCAATAACAGGACGTTGTTTCTTAAATGCATCTTCCATATGAGATGGATTTCATATTATTCTTCTTCCATATTATGGACTGGGACATAAGACCTGTTCTGAGGCTGAATGCAGTGATCCATCTTGATCTAGGATGACCTGTTTCGTCTTTTCCTATAGGGATGTAAGAATGGGCTTGCTATGATAGTCATTTAGGGGTCACCCTTTTCACATGTTCATGTCAGTATCATTGGAATCATTGTGTATCTTCCAACACTTAATTTCTTTCCTTAGGGTTATTTGTATAGCTGATCTCAAAAACGAAATTATCTGATATTTAATGTTTTATAAATGCAAAGCAAATATTAGAGAGTTCTAACAGAAATGAGTACCAGGAATCTTCCCGGGTGTAAAGGGCAACCTCACTGCCATCTGTGAGATGACTGTCTAGAAAAATGTGGAAGCCTTGATGTCTCACAACCCTATGAGTCAGCATGGCCTGTTACAAGATAGTTTACTTTTCTTTTTATACAAATATAATGACATGTGTATTAACTGCTCTGAAGTTATGATACAGCAGACTTAAACGGCATGACAAGGCAATTTCCTATGTTGCAGTCTGAACACAATTATCGTACTACCACAAATTGTCACCTTCTACGTGTCCAGCTCCAACCCCATCAACCTTCTTCAGAAACATATCTTTTCATGCTTACTGCAACACTGGCAGAGGTTTGTCAGTGAAGTCTCTCAAATTGCAGCAGCAGTTGATAGAGAATGAAAAGCGTATTTACTTACAATAATATTTTAATCTTGTTTCCAGTCTCACCCAAACAAATATTGAAGAAAAAATACTAATACAATCTCCACACATTATCACAAATGAAGGTGGGCAGATTTCTTACAAGGAATTTGCAAGGCGCTTGGAAGTCCCTTCAACAAGTGAGGTCCTTCAGCAGCTATTCAGAATGTATGATAAGGTAATTATAGTTGTACCAAATATTTGTGGGGATGTCTTAACGTTGTGTCTTTGTCATTACTCCGATGACNATTTATTTTCATTTTATTTGTTTGTCTTGAGATAAATAAATTCTTGTACAATGCAGGGTCTTAGTCCAAATTTGAACTGAAATGGCCTGATAATTTTTCATGAAACTCTCCAGCAACAAATTTCATAGTACTTCAATCAGCAGTTTTTGAGCTGTTTCATGCATACAGACTGATGGATGGGTGGATTGACTGAAAATGATACACTACAGACTACAGGTATACTCTCAGGACACACATGGATGAGTCATGAACTGGATGATAAATATCGTCTTGTGTGTGGTCTGGTACAAGTTTACCATTGTAGAATATGAGGTTCTAAGAACAATGGTTATGAAGAGTTCTGTCATCCAGGGTATAATGCTGTGTAATCCATTGAAACTCAACCGACATTTCAAAGGGACATGTCCCCTCCATCTTCAAAGTTGAAAAGTAAGTGAAGCAAGAACCCAGCATGAAGCAGGCCTCAAGCAGACTTTCAAGGGATTACAGCATGTTATATCACAGGAGACGGAACTCTTGAAGTTCAGAGAAGCATGTTGTTTTCATCTTCACAACCAACTAATAAACCAAGCAGTCAGCAATTAGATGATGCTTACTGTTTTTTTTATTTTTCTTCTTCCTCTCACCACTCTCTTCCTTTATTTTGGGGTGAGACTGAATTCCTTGGTATACAGGCCTTAAATGGCCCACTGTACCAGACCCAGATGATAGATGAGAGAAATAAAGCAGTTCATGGAATGAGAACTGGCAGGGGAAACTGAAGTACTTAGAGGAAGCCTGCCTATCACCATTCCATCCCCCACAGATTCCTCATGAACTTTCCTAGGATTGAAGCCAGACTGCCATGGTGGCAAGCCAGCCACTAAGTGGCCGAGTCATGGAATGGTCTTCTTTGCTTGGCTTACTCTTCAGTTCTGATGATGGAGGCAGCATGTTCCTCCAAAACATCAGTAAACATGAACCAGAACACACAGCATCACATTCCAGAAGACTGTACTTATCTTTTATCAAATTATTTGGATTATTTTGTCAACAAAATTTCAAAAATGCTATATTCATGTCTTTCTTACAGGACTGCACCGGCATTATTGACTTTCGGGAGTATCTACTTGGTGTTCTCGTAATATCGAAAGCTAGTAACGCAGGAGAGATGGTGGAATTAGCATTTAAGGTAATGTATTATTCAAAGATGTTTTGTGGGTGTATACAGTAGTATGATATTGGGGAACAGTTTCCCACAAAATATCTCTCTAATGTATTTGCAGCATTTCATCTAGAATACTCATGGTACTATATATTATATAATAAGTGTCTTGTTTCAGGTCAGAGTCAATTTTAAGATATCTGCCAAGTGCCTGATAAGAAATTAAATCCAAAATAAGTATCAAGGTTGTGATTTCTTAATGCCTAATTCAGACATGCATTGCATACTAAAGGTGAGATTTTATTTTATGGGGCATCAGTGGAATGATAAAAAAGGAAACCGAAATTCATGAAAAGAAATCTTTCCTAAAAGAAGAGGACTTCCCTCTGATTCTTGGAGCACAGGCATTGCCAAACTTCTCTGTTCATCATAGTGCTTTCCCCCATGATGTGCATATTTCACCCTTTAAACTTGTGTTTAGTATATGTACCACCTGCTTTGGCATTAAGAAAACTCTGCATTTTGCTCACACTATGTACTTATGGGTGTGATTCTCAGAATTAACTGAAATTATTCCCCCTTCTAGCTTTAACCAGTCTGTCTTTCTAATAGAGACAGTGTATCTTCTGTGGCATATGAACTGAACAGACTTTTGAACATGTTATTCACGATGAAGAAAGTTGTCTTCTGGGTTTAGGCACTGTGTATTCTTTGTTTTGGCCGACGTTTCAGAGGAATGTAGCGCCTCCATCCAGTAGCTGTGCCACTGCTCTCCGCAGCTATTCAACTGCTCTGAAGATGGAGGCGCTACGTTCCTCCGAAACGTCGGCCAAAACGAAGAATACACGGTGCCTAAACCCAGAAGACAACTTTCTTCATTGTCATCGCCGTGAAAACCTCAAAACTTACATGTTATTCACGTGATTTTCATGCTTCAGATATTTGATCGAGGGGGCGAGGGAAAAGTGACCCAGGCAGATACATCAAAGGCACTTTATCACACGTTAGCAGTTCCATCAGAAGAAGCACAGCGTGTGTTCCGACAAATTGATACCACAGGGAGAGGGTACATCACATTCGGTAAGTATCAACCCAGGTGCATTTTTTTTCTGGTTCGGCTCACTAAGTTAAAATGCACATATTTGTTTGCTATTAAAATTAAAGAGAGATAACCACTCACACTGAACTCTTCAGATTACAAATGATGCATATGGTACTTCAAATAATTGAATTTGTCACTCTTATGCACCCTCCAAGAATCTGCCTGCCCACATCAAACCCAGAATTTACTGCCACTCTTCACCACTTGGACATTTTCACCTTTAATCCACCCCCCCAAATAAACAATAAAATAAAAAAAACAAACAAAGCGGAAGAATTAATAGTAATATTCCATTCCAGGCATCAGAGGAGCTACCGAATTTATCATAATTTTCTTAATAGTTCGTTAATTTTATTTGGACTAATAATCTAATAATACCTTATATATAGATGTTGAATAAATTTCACTTCTTTGTCATATTGGAAAACATGATTTTGACCCAAGCAGGGTCAGCACATACCTTAATACTGTCCTACAGGAAATGAGAAATCTCTCCCCATTTAAGAACATTCTTTAAACTTTGTCACAATATGACACTTTACATTCCTGCCAATTAGTGGTCGCAATATCAGTATGACCAAAGAGCAGCAGACATTTGTCACATTTAACAGAAATCTACATACAGCTGGCCGCTTGGTTTACCTGTGTTCCTGCACTGGTCCTGGGCCCAACAAAGTAGGAATTTCATTATATTTCATTGTCTGAAAATGTAAATAGAACCCATTTCATAAACTTTGTGGTTTCTATATAAAAGAAGGCAAGACAGCAGACACAACCCTACAAATTGTTGTAGTCTCTTAGAGCATATATAAAACCAAAATAAATCATTGGTTGTGAAGTAGATATGGTGCTACATAGATAAAGTGCCTGAGGATTAACTTGTGGACCACTGGTTTAACTGACATTCTATGATCTGAAAGATTCTGGTGTTCTTCAGATTGGAATACAGAGAAGCTTGTGAGTATAGGACTTGTGGTAACTAGAATTAATGCATAATATAGCTTTGTGTTTGCTCTGAATTTATTATGTGAATTTTTTTAATTTCAGATGAATTCAGACAGTATTCAAAATGGAAATCAGAGTATTCACACATATTTCTAAGACATGGGGAAGAAGAAGAGAAAAAAGCAGCCCCTAAACTCCATGTTTGTGATTATAATAATGCGAATTACAAAACAAAAGCGGAGTGACGCATTCTCTCGAAGATCCATTCGTAGGGCAAAACTGTTTTGATGACAAAATATTTATATGGATACAACAAGATTATAAATTTGGAGCCATTCATATCTGTATGAAGTGGTAAATTTTAATGATTAACTCAATTCAGATGCAATTGAGATGGGGGGAATACATATAGTTTCATTACATTACATTTTCACCGTAATAAAATATCAAGGTTGATAATCTCGTTCAGACCTTAATTGTTTGATGAAAATCTTCTGGTTTTCTCTCTGATAAACATTTGTCTGTGCTGTGGTCTTCAGTGTTGTGACACTGCATTAGTCTTACATAACAATACTGATGCTTCAGAGATGAAGTGTGTATGGCGAGGAATCAGATCCAGGAAATGGAACCTGGTTAGGGAAGTAGGCAGTTATGAAGATCACCATTCTGAGGGCTGCATATCAAGATTTTTTATCTCTGGAATATAATGTTGTATAGCCCATCATTTCCCTGAAGATAGAACTCCTCATAACAAGTATTGTGAGAACCCTGAATGAGGCCATAATATTGTTTATAGGTAGACTTTCACACAAGTCTGTTTCCCTCTTGTGATAACATAATATTGAGGTCCTGAAAATGGCTGTGTTCCCGCTAACAGTTTCACTGTCCTGACCAGGCAACATTTTCTCACCCCCTTCTGCGAGTCTGCATGATCATGTTCCCTTGCAAGCTGCTTGTATAAACCCAGTTGAGTTCCTCACTCTGTACACACTGTGTTTCTCTGAAATGCTGGGTCTGCCTATACAACCCAGAAGATTAAAATCATTGCTTTGAATAACCTCAAAAACTTATGTTTATTGAAGAGTAGTTCTTCTTGAATGTGATCCTGTGTAGCCTAGTAGTTCACCAAAGTTCTGGAAAATGTATTGCCTCCCTTATCAGTGTTGAAAAGTAAGCCAAGCTAGCAACCAGCAACAGTAACATTGTTTCAAGCTGATTGCTTGCTTCACTCACTCTTTGACCCTGAAGACTGAAGCAATATGTTCCTCTGAAATGTCACTAAACTTCTGCAGACTATAAAGCATTACATCCCAGAATACAATAATCATCACTGGCAGAACTTCTGATCCAACATAATTATCTAGATGACGAGCCTGAACATTTTCAGTTCTTGGGAAAATCAAAATTGCATAAAGCACTTCAATGACCTGTACCCCAACACACAAAATGGGGCATCATTAATTATGCAGGTGCAGACTGACCTATCTACCACTTTGAATCCACACTGAATGAGGTGATAAACATATTGAATGTGATAACAGACTATTTAAAAAAAAACATTCATGATCAGCTCAGAATATAATTATAGATATATCTAGCACGTCTGTTGGGCTAACCCTGGATACAGCCATTTCAAGTTCTATTTTTTTCTTTCTTACTAGCTGAACACATACGTTTATGTGTTTCTTGAATGTATAAATTTTCATGCCTGTTCGAAGAATAGACCTTGAAGTGGAACTGAGCATTTCGATTCTTCTGATATTAGGAAAACGGTATTGCCTTTATGGAAATAGCATTAGGAAGTCACAAGCCACCTAAGATTTTGCAGACTGCAGCTCCAGTAGTTTCACTCTAAACCTAAGTTATATTTTTCTTGAGACATTTACTTAACATAATTACATTCAAAACAGTGTATCATTCATTACTGCCAACACTTTGCCCACTTGTATACTTTACAGAGCCACCACAGCTGTGACTAGAGCAACATGCTTTGTCTGTGTGATAAGTAAAGCTATCCCTCTAACAGGCCGTGAAGGCCCATATGGTTGTGAGACGTTGAGAGTCCAAAATTTTCTATATACAATCAGCTCACTGATGGCAGTAAGGTCGTCATCCTTACACGCCGGCCACACTTTACTCCCCAGGGAAATTATTTAATTAATTCCTGGTACTCATTTCTGTTAGAGGCTGAGTCGACCATACTGCCTCAGCCAACTACACTACCACGTGCACCACTTTAATTTGGGTCATCAGAAAAGAACTGTTACCCTTTTGTGAGAAACTGACTGCTACATTTAGGGAGCGGGACAGTTGTGCAGTGAAATGTTCTTGAGGGATCATCTGTTCCAATATGGAGCTAGCATCCAACATTTGACTTGCAGAAAATTTTCTGTTAGATAACAGTATTTCATGGAGGGACAGTGAGAATTCTGAAGCCGGCTCTGAGAGTCTAGAAATGCTTTTGTACAGATTTCTATTACTGTTCAAGATTGCCATCTTCTGGGCTGTGATGCCATATAGTTCGTTATGGATACAGACGAGCAAGGCCCAGAAACAGTCGCGAACAAAGGTCCCAGTCCATCCTTTCCCTGTATACATAGTACTTTTTTATATGCTGAGCTTAATGTTCTGCTCTGGAGATAGTGGCAAGAGGTTCCTCTAAAACACTGGCAGTGTTCTACCACACTACACGGTATCACATCCCAGAAAGTGAAAATCTTCATTGTCATCACCATGAGAAGTTCACACGTTAGAATTTATTTGCAGTTGTTTACCGCCCACCATGCATCAATATCAGCGTTTTAAAATTTGTCGCTGCACTATAAGTTTCAGGCTACATGTGCATTAAAACTTGGGGGAACTACTGTGTCTTCATATTTACAATGTAGTAGATGATCTAGTTCCTCCTGTGCCATATTTGTTGTCCTTTCTGGCATGCCTGTTGCCTATCTAGTGTGCAGTATGGATGTTATAATATTGACTTCATTTAAAAGAAATGTAAATATGAAAATACCGAACACAGTAGCATCGAAGGCACAGCAATTCCCCCAGCTTTCAATGCACCTAATGACAGCTGAGTAGGCTGAAACATCTAGTGCAGTGAAAAGTTTTAAAAGGACTGAGTTTTAAAATCTTGGTTTTGTTGCATGGTGAAAGGTAAACAATTGAACATACATTCTATTACCAACTGCAACAGGATGCTAAGAAACATTATGAACTCGCATGTTAATTATTCCTCATACTCTGCAAATTATGTGAATGTTTAAGAGAATGGTCACTGCAGGATATTAGAAATATATTTGTTCTACAAGGATCTGTTCAAATTAAGATACAGAAACAGATCATATGCTTATATGCATGCAGTGCCAAATTTGCTCTTGTGTTACTTTTGGGGGGGGGGGGCATGATGGGTTCAATCCCAGGTCAGGAACTTCAGTGAATCTTCTTCAAACACTTAGGATTCCATTGTCAATTCTCAGTCCGCCAACTGCTCCACATACATCAATCATTCTATCATCCAATGCTGTATACTCTCACTACTGACAGCAACGTGAAATTACCGATTAAAAAAATGCTTTTGGGTGGTATTCTTCAAGAGCACCCTAAGACAGAGACTAACATCTGGTAACGAGATAAGTTACATATTCCCTGACGCTGGTGTTTGAGTAACCTCTTCTTGAAGTCTAGTGCTTCATATAAAAACTATTGTGCCCATTTTCCTGTTTCATGTACTTCATATGATGGGGTAGGGTGCGGGTTTGGTGGCATTTATGCTGAAGTATTTCTATAAACTGGCTGACAACATTCTGATTAAAGTTGACTGATCAGGCTCAAATGGTAACTTGTGTTCTGAATTCCCCGGGACACCAACTACCCTCACTGAGATTATTCATAAGCTTCATGAGCCAGTACCACTTCCTTCCACATTCTTACAAATTCATTATTCACTGTCATACCATCCCTACAATACATATAACACAAGCTACTGGCATCATGATTAAATAAACCATAAGTAAATACAGATAAGATTGAATTTAGTATCCCCATATAATTCTTGTGTGCACAGTTGAGGAATATTGTGTTTTACAGCTGAGAATGTGCGGTGTTTTTAATTGCACTGAGCCCAACAAACATGTAACAGAAAGACGACGGTTATCAGTGTGTAATAATTACTTATTTTTTTATAATTTTACACTTGTGACGAACATTTCAGGTAAGCCAATATTAATAATATATAATGAACTTGGGATAGTAGTAAGTCCGTGTAGTTAGATAACTTATTGTCATATTTATATGCAGATGTTTATGTACAGAACGTATTTAGCATAATAGGAATTTCCATTTTTCAATATATTTATCATACAATGTATTCCATCTTGCATGTACATATTACAGCTAGCTGTATTACAATTTTATTTGAATCAAAGCATTTGTTATCACAAAATGCCTTTCATTTGTCAACGTAATATATGTGGGAAAATAGGTTATGTAAGTCAAATTTAATTTGTAATCCTTTTCTGCTGTAGAAGTGTACTTTATTTTCATAAATGTAATTCATAATGAAGAATAAATAGAATAAATGATACTTTCAGTGTTTCATGCTCGGTTAGTAAATCAAGTAATGGTGAGAATTTCTGTTGTTTTAGGTAACTTCCATTATTTCAACCATAGGCATCACTGGTTTTTTTTCCAGAGGGTTGTGGAGAGAAAATTCTTATAAATTTATGTTTCAGATGTTAAGTTATTTTTATTGATCACAATACAGTACTCAGGATAAACTAGAGTATTAAAAAAGTATAATTTTTTATATATTGACATTTGGTATATTTTTTTTCAAATTTCATTTCCTCACCCAAAGGTCTTGGATTTGAGGGCAGAAGCAGTAGGAGTCTCTCTGAGGCAACAGACATACTTTATGTTGCCAGTGAAAACAATACATATTGCTGTAAAATGTAGCACTGCTGCTTCATATTTAGAATATCCTGGGTTCAAATTTCAACTCACATGATTACTGTCTCCTGGAATGTAATCTTTTAGAGCTTTACAAGCATTCAAGAGGAATATGATGGCTCCATTTTCAGGACAGAAGACCACTGGATATTCTGATGAGTCCCTCTAGGCACGTGATGTGTCACAACCTTAAAACAGTACACATTATCTGAAATATCCTTTCAATTCATGACTCACAAATTATCATCATATTAGAGGCTATATAACATATGCAGTTAAGAGAGTGCAATAAATAAGCTAAGAATCCCCTAACTGGGAATGTATCCTTTTTCCAGAACTCACCAAAATCTCACTTTATTTCAGTGATGAAATAATCTTGAACTGTGTTCAGCTTCAATTTTGCACTATTTCTGGTGACCTGTGTACACAGATTATCACATTGCAGACTGCACATGCTCATGATGGACATTGTGCCATGCAGTACTGAGAAGGTTAATGAGCAACAAACCATAAATATGCTTAGAATTGCTGAGTTTTTGGACACTGTCCTCTGTCTGGTATTCTAGAAACTAGAAAACACAAGTTTTTGGAAACTGGATCTGTTTCCACCCTAACTGAGGGAGGAAGATGCCTACTCAGTTGGGTCCCTTAGAAAGAGCTAACCTGTATCACTGGACAGCTCATGTTGATATAACTACAGCTATTTAATCACCTGAGACCAGGCTATTTCAGTAAGAGACAACAAGAAACATTGTGTTTTCTAGTATACCAGACAATGGACAAAATCCAAAAACCTAATACTTCTGAGTGTTATACACCATCATTGAAACACTTTAGAATCTAATTATAGATAATGGTTTCCAATATGATCGCTTCTGCTGTCTCCTCGAAGTGAATGTTAAAACATCCTGTAACGTGTATTACCTATATTTGTGGCCAGCAAATTCTAATCATGGCCTGTATATTAACTTTACAGATCTGAGCAAAACTTACCAGAACAAAAAATGCTACACTTATTATGACACTATAGCTATATTGCAAATATTTATAATTTTGAGATAAAAACAGGCATTTTCCTGTCATTAATGCCAGGTACAATAGAGTAAAATCTCAATTTCAATCATTTCACGCATATTTTCTGCGTACTCCCCAGCACCAACTGAATTCTGTGTAATTTTATGTGTGGCTTTTGTTTTGAGGTTATATCTGTAGTTCTAGGGCAAAGGGGACTTAGCAGACAAAAAAGCCTTGTCAAAACACAGCCTGAGATGATGATACTACAGGTTTGTATTACATAAATAGAACCCAATTTTGCAGTTCCTATAAGAACATGGTACAGCATATTACAACAAGATACTTGTCATGTAAACGAAAGGCCAGTAATTCACCAGCACTGAAATGTGACATTTGATTAACAAAAATAATTTGAGGTTGCTGAATTTAATTATGTTTGTAATAATGGGATCTGGTGATGATTAAGGAACCTTTGGGTTCTGAAACAGGGAGATGATCTTGAACAGCTAACACAAAGTCTCAGTGAAGGCCATGCATAAGGAATTTGGCCACCACAAAATTATTTTACATTATCACTATGGTAAGATTATCCTGTTTAGCCAAAGAATGATGCATTCTCATGTTTTTCCAATTGAAAACTGTTGAGAGCTGCCCACGCAATATGTAGCCAGACAAGAGTGAATTAAAGGAAAGTATATGATTGCGTATAGGATATTGGTGGGAAAGCCAGAAGGAAAGAGACCACAGGGAAGAAAAAGGCATAGGTGGGCAGACAATATTAGAATGGATCTTAGAGAGATAGGATGGGATGGTATGGGTTGGATAGATCTGGCTCAGGATAGGGACCAGTGGAGGGCTCTGGTGAACATGGTGATGAACCTTCAGGTTCCATAAAATGCTGGAAAATTCTTGAGTAGTTGCAGAATTGGCGGCTCCTCCAGAAGGGCTCAGCTCCATGAGTAAGTAAGTAAGTATATGATTACACTTCCACTGACATACAGCGTCACAATATTCTTTACTCCAGAACATTTTGGGCACCATGCACTGTAACTTCCCCTCCGTATGATGAAGACAAAGAACTGACACTTGTCACAGGTAACACCCAGCATCATTAACACCAAACCAGAATTATGTTCCCTGTTAAGTGCATTTGAGAACCAGCTGTTTATTGTGTCCTTCCACAAATATCAGAGCCCAAAATACCTCACCAATATTACTCAATCTCAGTGTAGTATACCTACAATAAAAGTTGTAAAGTGATTTTCATTTGGTAGGGTTTGATTAATTCTTAATGATCAAATTATATCATCATCTGCAACAGTTCACCTCGTCAGCCCACTCTGCCCTCAAATGTGAAGCATATTTGAAGATTATGAGTAACTCTGATTTTACATGAGCAGATCATCAGCCTGTTGTAAAAAACCCATATTTTGGAGTGCCAGGGTTTCTATTCTGAGTTCCCTTCCCTTAGGTTGCTTCCCATGGATAACAAGTCCTTCCTACCTGCCACATAATCCTGTGAAGGAGCCCTTACCAGGTGCTACCCACACGGTCAATGGGAACTGGAGCTCACATGAGGCAGGGACACCACTCCCTGTAGTTGGACTGTCTCTTGTGGGAGTTCCAACTTGCTGCCTTCGCATGAAATTACTTATGGGTATAAATGAACACATTTAAATTACAAAATATATGCATATATGTTTTGAGTCCTTTGACCAATTTTGATGAAACTTGATGAGTATTCATTACCACTTGCTACATTTACTCAATTAGTGTTAAAGGACACATCCCTTAGGGCCTCAACACAAGGTAGGATACATCTCCATAAGTATTCAACTGGGAGAAGATGGCTTGAATGAAAGTTACAGGGCTCTATAAAATAAACACCCTGCGACTTCGACATTGTCACTAGTAACTCGTGAAGTAATTGAGCTCTATCGAAATAGTGGTCCACATTGCTGCTATCGTTCAGAACCTGACAATGGTTATACTCAGCAGACAGGCATCTTACATAAACAAAATGTACCTTTCTGCTATACATGTTAATAAGTATATACATTCATATATAAAGTGGTCATATATACTGAAATGTAATGTAAATTTAGTTTAAGTCTCATAGGTTTTTGTAAGGGATATAAGTATTAAATTTAATTAAAATTCTATCTTTAGAAAATGGCTGAAGATGCATACGATGGAACTATCACGATTTCGAATATTGTGACAAAACAAGCCCAAAATGGTCTAAACATCAGTCGAAGAATAACCATACATATGTAGTAATAAAATATTTGAATCAAAATAGAGACATTTGCAGTTAATGTAACAATAAGTTGAATTTCGGGCATGCACCGTTCTTTGTTTCACCTGCTCGCCACGTTGAGGCACAGGATATGAGCAGGACCTGAAAGAGAACAGGAACAAAAACAAATATAAGAACAGCAACAGACACAATGTTGAAGTAATTAACAAAACGAAAGCAAAAACTCACCAATGGTTTAGGTAGTCTTGCCATCTTCTATAAGATGTTCGTTAATTTAAACACAATTCTTGATCAGATACGTTGAACGATGTAAGATCTGAGGTTTTCACGGCGCCACATCCCAGAAGACAGCATTCTTCAGATACGTTGCACGTTCATTTTTGTAAGCCACGCAGTGTAATGAATGAAAAATAAAAGTACGGCGCAATGAAGTAAAATGAACACGTTGTTACAGTATTCAGTATTTGTCAAAAAGAAACATTTCGATGACTACTTCTGTTGTAAACACAAAAGAAATTTACAGTGAATGCACGGCGCTCCATTAAATTCGAAAATATAAAATCAGAATTGGCGATTAATTCGACTAAGTTTCTCTTGAAGTTTACGGAAATAATTCGGCGACGTAACAGAGAAAAACTCTATTACAATCAAAAGCCTGGCGGCTAGTGGTAGAACTATCCAATCCCTCATAAAACGTTCAATTTATGGTACATGTATATACTGAAGAATAAATTACATTAGTTCAGCCTTTTTATGTCAAAGTCCTATCTCCGATGGCAATTGGCAATTTTTGCTGATAGATAAAATGTGAAGACCACTGATTCACATTTTTTCTTGACATTTAACAGCATCGCAGAGTTTGGTTTCTTTACATTGCAGACCAACCTGATGCATTTATTCGTGATGACAGTTGATGTATCGAAGCTGGAGCACGTTTGTTGCCCTACCTTTCGCGTGCCTTCATCACAGCAGTCGATGTCTTCTCTAAAGTTGAAGCTGGATCACATGTTATTGACTTACCTTATGTATTTTCCTCCTGATATCATTTTACAAACTGAATTCACAGCACAGTACACACAAACATAACATAATATAACATCACTGTAACATTTTATGAATTGACTTCACAGCACACCACACAAAAAATTGCATAATATAACATGTCACTTTATAAATGTCTATATTTAGCTTGTATATTCATATAGATTCAGTCATTTATCTTTCAACATTGAAGTGAAAGAAAGATCAAAGCAAAATGAAGTTTTGCTTTCTTGAATCTTTTTCCATCCAGTGCGAGTTATTCAGAGGGAGTGACTGTCAAAGTTCTTTTTATCTCTCTCCCTCTCGCACTGATTTCATTGTCGTGTCGACCG